AAACCCTACACCCAAAATTAAACCCGAAATCCTAAACCCCAAATTAAACCCTAAACCCTAAACCCCAAGGTAGAGTCGAGCACATACCGAAACTTCGGACCCCTGAAGACAGAGTTCGTGTCGGACGTAGGGGTTAAGCTCACGGCTGTGAGCTTTTCCGCGTGAACTGAAGTTCAGGTAGATCTTAGATACTGCCCCCATACAGTATGAGTCTACAATAGGGCTACTATGAAGGTCCTAATATACCTATATTATGACTATTATTCAACTTTGACTGAGTAGGGGCCGTACCCAAGATAGATCCAGCATGCTGGTCAAGGCGACCGGGGGGATCAACCCGATCCCTGCTATGTAGAGACACGCAGAACTCGAACGTCTAAACACCGTCATCCCAAATCCTTCACATGCGCTACATATACATACAGGTATATATACATATATATATATATATATGTGCGTGTGCGCATGTCTGTCTGTTTGCCTGTGCCTGTTGCAACAGATGCAGTCGCGTATGCATAAGGCCTTGAACATGCAAGTTGTGAAGTGCACGAATAGGTAAGCAAGCACAATTACATGTGCACAAGCTGGTATTTGTGTTGTGCATGGCCGGCGGCTAACTACATTTTGTACGTATGATTGCGTATGCATACGTCGGCTTTCTGCGAGAAAGCTTCACAATGCAAGCCGGAGGTCAAAAGCGGTACTGACTTCCTTGTCGAAAGTATCTTGCCCTAAACCTAAAAATTGAACCCTATGTCCTTAAGACCCCAAACTCAGCCACCAAGCCAAAAAAAAAACAATATTTTGGCCCTAAGCCGCCTAAAGCGCAGCAGCCATGGATGTCAAAAGGCTTGACTGGGAGATGAAACCGCAGACTTGCTCGGGAATCCGAAATCCCAACTTTCGACGATGTAGTGTACGGATTCAGGGTCTAGGTTAGCCCTTTAAAGCCTCTGAAAAATCTTCGTAAATTGGGTCCTATGAAGCCCAAATAAGGGAAAATATGAAATGCCCCAAAGGCCTACCTCGGGGTTAGGGTTCTGTCAGGGCTACCGTAAGGTTCGTATGTGTTATTTTTGGTTTAGGGTTCAGGATGCAGGGCTTAGGATCTAGGCTGTGCTAGGCCTGGTTTAGGGCTTAGGCTGTCCGGAAAGAGCTTGAGTGTGCAATTGCCTACATTCCTTCTTCGGGGTTCGGTTGACAGTTGAAGCACCAACCCAAACGATCCTAAGTGCCTGTCTAAGTGATGCTTGCCCAAAACATAAGAGTAGTTAATTCCGATTATAGAACCCCTACATTGTACCATGGACTTAGCATCCTTTGGACAAGCTTTCAAGTTTCAGGGTACCAGGCAGGAGTCTTGCTTCGCCGGCCTTGAGATAGGCGCGAGAGCATTTGAAGCCATGGCTCTAGTCCTTCCTGAGCTCAGGTGCTGCTGTTCTTCTGGGTTTCTTCGCATCATTTGGGGACTGGCGGGCGTAAGACAAGAAGACCTAACTATGACTGTAGAAACCCTACTACAGAAGGAATCTTCAGTGTTGGAGCTTGCGTTGAGAGAACTGTAGACCTCTGAGACCCCAAAGAGGCCCCGAGGGCCCTCCTTAGCCCAAGGAGATACTTCAAACCCCAGTCAACGCACACAAATGAACTGGAAACCCCAAATCCCTTAGGGTCGGCCTTGGTTTAGTAAACTGCTGAAGTAGTCACGATCCGGGGCTTCTGGGACATCGATGGCTTGCAGATTCAGGTCCCTTCAAACTGCCCCCATTTGGGCACATGGATCCTTAGGCAACTGTAAAGCACCCTCAACGGCTCTAGAAAACCGAACCTATCGTTACTGCCCCATCAGAATCCCACATACCCAGATCCCTGGAAGGATCCAAAAAGTAGATCCCTTAATGGGGGTTCCTATAAAGTACCCTTAGTAGTATAGGGCGCCGAATTAGGGGATCTACTTTCTAGATCCTTCCGGGGGTTCGGGTAGAGGCCCCGCCAGAATCTAAAGGCCCCCAAGTATTCCAGGAGAGCCGAGACGCTGCCGGGCTCCTCACCTCGTCTCTTCGCGGATTTTTCCGGAGATTTATCTCCGCCTTTTGTCCGGTCGGTGCTGGGCGAAAAAACTCCTGCTTTGAGGCGGTTCCCCGAGGAAGCTCACTCACACCTTGAGCCAAAACCGGGTGCATCGCAGAACTCCACGGCAAGGAGCTCAAGGCTTAGGGAAAGTTCAGCGATTCATCAGGCGATCAGGATTTGGACAGGCTGCTTCGAGGGTCATTAGTATATTATTATACGTATATACATATATATATATATATGTCTATATATATATATATATACATGTATGTATGTCAATATGTATGTATGTACGTATGTAACTACGGTGCTGTCCTGGTTCAGGGTTTCAGGCTTCGGGATCAGGCAGTAGGCGTATGATTAGTCATAATCATACTGTAGCGACAATGTGCTGCTGGACATTATTCAGACCTCTTGTATTGAAGGCTCCCTAAGGCAAAGAATTTTCAGGCTGGCTTCGACTTTAACGCCGGCCACCTTGCCATGCTTTCACCCGACCCTACGCCCTGCACATAAAACACCATCAGCCCTGACCTAAACCCCAAACCACTTGTTGAAACCCAAAACCCTCTACACCCTAAACCCTGAACCCTGAACCCTAAACCCTAAACCCTAAAGCACAGAACCTTAAGCCCTGAAGTCTGGAACTCTTTACAACTCTTCACAGGGCCCGAGCCCGAAAGTGAAGACGACCCCACACCCTCCACACCCTAAACCTTAAGTAGAAATCTCTAGTTTCAGCACATCCAAGGGCCAAGAGTTTGGGACTACTTGGGCTCATTACCCCAATAGATCCGTTGTATCACCCTGATGTAGACCTGCTGTAGCCCTGAGACAACCCTCATGGGGTTTGGGTCACCTTGTTCTTTAACCAAATAGGAATAAACCCTAGACCTTAAACCCTGAACAATAAACCCGATAATATACCCCTGTTAAACCCCAAACCTCAAACCCTAATCATGTAAACCCTACATCCAAACCGTAAACCCCAAACCGTGGGGACCCCCACCAAACTACGGCACGTCTGAGACTCAGACGGTTTCCGACGCCAAATGTCGTGTGCTCGGAGTGCAAGCCAGAACTGGGCGACCGAAGTCCGGAAAGGATCCTATAGAGGGTCCTAGGGATTTGTAAGGACTTGCTATATGGCTGTAGGGCTTGTGGTGTTTAGGAGTTTGGGCGTTAAGGCTGCAGGGTTTCGCGGGTCACGGTCGTGCTCCTCTTGCCCTTGCGCCCTGTTTCAGTAGCCGAAACTTGGGGTCTGAAGGACTGCTCATATATGACTAGTGCGTTCTTGTCGCCTTCCAGCCCCTACAGTATTGTACCACAGAAAGCTCTTCTACTTGTTAATCTCGAGGCCACCGCTACTATGGATCCTAGACTGAGTTGCATCATCAACCTCGAGAGCCTGATTCACTCGACTTGGAAATACCGAACCTGCCCCCCCGAAGCTGGAGAACACGTCAGACAAGGAAGCCAAAGCAACCAGAGAAGGAAGCATGAGCGAGCTTCCGAGGTATATGGGGCACTAAGGTCGAGGGGATACTACTACTACTACTACTACTACTACTACTACTACTACTACTACTACTACTACTACTACTACTACTACTACTACTATTACTCCTGCTGCTGCTGCTGCTGCTACTACTACTACTACTACTACTACTACAACTACTACTTGTTCAGAACCTCTGTATATTGAACAATCATCCGACTCAGTATCGTGAAGTCTCCGGTGTCTTCACTCAAGAATCACCTACCCTAAGGCTCCAAAGTAGTTCCTTTTTGGGGTTCATATGTAGAATTCTATAAGGTAATCCCAAAAAGGAACTGCTATGGAGCCTCTGGGTAGAAACCTGGAAGCTTCCTTCACCCCCGGCTGCTCGGGCGTGGGACCCCGTGAGGATCAGCGTGGAGGCGGCAGTTTCTTCATTTAGGGTCTAGCTCTCGCAACTCGGAGAAGGCCGACGAGGTCTCTCGCTGAGGGTTTCATTGAACGCTAGGAAAGGTTAAGTGCTTCGTCCCTCAGAGATTGGCAGCAAGTTCGATTTCGGACGTGGACATGGTGGCAAGGTCTTCTTTTCATCGCTGGCTCTTTGGTGCCGCCAAGAAGTTGCAAGTAGAACCAGCCTTCCCGGAAACCTGTCGCACTAAACCCTGAAGCCTATTACGCTACTCAACTTGGTTAGTGAAGCATATCCTATGTTGACCACATGTTTGAGTAGTTATATTGTATAGTGCACACTATCAAACTCAAAAAACTTAGAAGCTCTCGAATCGCTCAACCCTGATGAAGCAGAAGAAGCTTCCAGCAGGTAAAAAGTCATCCGCAACACAGTGCTGGAGCACTGGGGAACACCCCAAAAATGAATCAACAAATAACTGGATATGGATAGACAAAGGACAGAAAGAGAGAGAGAGAGAGAGAGAGAGAGAGAGAGAGAGAGAGAGAGATAGAGAGAGAGGAGAGAGAGAGAGAGAGAGAGAGAGAGGAGAGAGAGCGAGACGTGCTGGTGAGCGAATAAATATACAAACCTATATGTGTATGTATTTGGATATGTACGTATACGTGTGTATGTATGTATATCTGAATCTATATGTATATTAGTGTATATTATATTATATATATTTATAAATAATGAAAAGGCCATAGTGATTTCAATAGGGTTATGGCTGCAGTATAGTTACACAGACAACAAGGGGATAGTACGGCCAGCTCATATTCGTTATTCCGACCCTGTGTAAATATGTGTAATCCGGCGAGCCCGCGGATTGTTTCCGTTGACATTCAGCCCTTACCCAGACAAATCCTAGGTCCTAGGTCCTAGGACACGAACCCTGGTAAGCTTACAAGCTTTAGGGTCATAAAGCATCCTTACCCCGAGCAACCCTAAACAAAGATACAACTTTGAGCGTTCGCCCGCTCACTGGGTCTCAATGGAGATGTCGTACTGCCGCGGGTTGGACTCACTCTGCGTCATGGTAACCTGGGCGAGCAGGGGTGTACTGTATATAGGCTTTAGGGTTTAGGCTCTAGGGTTTAGGTTTCCGAAAATTAGGGGTACCTTAGTTTGGGGTTCTTGTAAGAAGGATGCTCTATTTAGTTGGGGCGCTGTAGTAAGGTCAGGGAGATTGAATCGTGAGTACCAGGCACGGCTGAATGGAACCAAAGGGTTGAACATCTTAAGCCCCAGTAGTAACTATTGATGTGCAAAACCCACAAGCCTAAACCCTAAACCCCAAAAGCCAAACCCTAAGCAGTCAGCCTTTGAGGTCTGAACCTTGAGCCCGGAGCCCGAAGTCTGCAGCCGGAAGCTCAATACCTGATACTGCACTTATAAAACTCAAAATCATTTGTCCATTGCAACCTGAGGCCATTTATAATTCAAACTCAGGGCCCAAGCGAACCTTGCGGCAGCTTCCTTGCGAAAATTCATGTGCAGGGTCCCTCAAAACCTTTTGGCATCTTCCTCCTTTCAAGACCATGTTAAGGGCCGCTCTATACTGTAAAGGGGCACCTCAAACCATAACCCCTAAAACCTAAACCCCTAAGCCTTAAAACTTAAACCCTAGACCCTAAACCTCAAACCTCAATCCCGAGGCCCCTAAGCCGTAAACCCTAAGCCCTTACACCGTAAACCTCAAACCCTGAACGGATCCGGCCCGAGCCTCTGCTTCGAGAATATCCCCGGCATCCACGGCTGCAAAGACACCCAGGTAGACGACCTAAGTGGGTAGTTGTCAAAATTGAAGTCCCTTTTTGGGTGCCCTACATATCAGGTGCCGTACTATCCATGGAAAACGAAACCCTGACAATTGGTATGAGGCCCCCTCGACAAACACCCAATCCAAACCGAAACCCTTAACCCGCAAATCTTCTTAGACAGCTCATCCCCGGACCTATCTAGTGAAGGCCGACAACGTCCTGAAGTCATGGGAACCCTGTCACTCCCAAAACCTGCGCGATCCCGTGGAGCCTTCATAGAACGACATCAAATCCCTTCCCCTAAGGCTCTAAGGACTCATAAGTTAAGGCTTTTGAGCCTAAAGACAACATTATATAAGGCTTTTGGGCCATTTTGAGCCTTAGGGTTCACTTTCCGAGAGATGGGGCCGTCTGCTGCCAGTGTGTTGACGGCGACCCAGGGTCAGTCTTCAAAGTCACAGAGCTGCCTGCGTAAAACAGGGGCTTAAAGGAGAACTTAAGGAGGGTTTAAAGGGGGGCTTCAGGGGGCCTTCAAGGGGGGTTTAGGGTTTAGGGGTTTAGGGTTTTATGGTTTAGGGGTTTAGGGTTTAGGGTTTTATGGTTTAGGGGTTTATGGTCTAGGGGTTTAGGGTTGGGGATTCGATAGGAGTTGCTTCAAGGGTCCGATCAGGGATACTATGAAGATGATTATAAACGTTCGAGGACAAGCACTTCCATTGTTATGCCACGGCTTTGGCCAATTTTGGGGTATAACCATGTCAACGAACACACAAGACTAGCATAGTATTGGTAATTTCAACCATACACCCTAGATCGTAGGTTCGACATGGCAAGGTAGTACAAAATTGATGACAGGGCTCGCATAAACCTTGTTTTCAGGCTTGCAATATAACGGAATTTCTAGGGCTGCAAACGGCTTTAGTTGGCTTCATGATGAAGTGAACGGTTGCTGTTGGGCTTCTTTCAGGATCTACGGCCTAGGGTTGTACAAGGTTTTGCAAAGCTTGGAAAGCGGAGTCTGCAGCAATTGGACTACGGGTCTTTCAACATTGAATCGGATAATGGATCCTAAACCTAAACCCTAAACCCTATAATGGACCCTATAAACCCAGAACTGGGGATGGGTGAGGAACGGTGCCGCGAGTAATTCATCCAGGCGCTATGTTCGAGTTCTGGGCTCCACGAACCCCCGAACCCGAAGACATTGCCTGATGGGAGTTTCCGAAAATTAGGGGTACCATATTTTGGGGTCCTAAAAATACGGATCCTACTATTTAGGGTATTAGGGTCCCCTGTTTTTGGAAACCCGATGATGGCCCGACCACTCTGACATTGTGAAGCAACCGGGACAAAGGATGAGTTGCTGTGGAGTTTGGGATTTCGAAGGCAACATGAGTAGTTCGACTGTTGTTCTGGGTGGAGTATGATACGATTGTATTGAGAAACGTGTTATAAGGATCGCATGATTCTCCGAGTCGCCCGCGTCTTCTAGTAGTGTCCACTTGTTCGAGTCTTGGGTTTCAGGGTTTTGGACTTGGAGGGTGTAGTTCTCGGATGAGTCCCAGGCGAAGCAAGTCAAACTCCAAGCGCAGAGCAACTAGGTGATAAACGATTTGCGGGTGCCCCTATCAGCATCCGTCTGTGCATGGCGTACACACACCCACACCCACACTCACAGGCACAGGGACACGCACGTGTAAACACACATATGCACAACTGCCCATCACGCGATGCACCTCCACACCCTCAGCAGAACCTGCCTTCACCAGAGAAGCCCACGTCGAACCTTCGGGGATACATGTGTGTGTGTGTCTACACATATACAGATATGGGTATCTATCTATCTATCTATCTATCTCTATATATATATGTATATAGATATACATGTGAAAATGTATGCATACAAATATGGTATAGATGGATGTACTTCAGTACTACTGCATTTGCACTTCCACAAGCACATGTGCATGTGTGTGCGCGCGTGGGTACCGGTGCTCGTCCGTCTGTATGTGTCTGTGCGTGTGTGCGTGCGGCACCCGTGTTTCCAAGGATTCGGCTAGATCATGAACCATGATCGTAGGAGGTGCAGGGTGCTTTCAGAGAGCTCTTTGACGAAGCGATTTACACTGGACAAGTGAACGTACCTGCACGGTGCTCTTGGGGATAGTTGCTCAGTTGCTCCAGCTGGTAGCCGCAACAATGCTCATTTAGGAACAGAGTGAACACCATCATAATCCAGCACAAACAGCATCTCCATGTAGGTAAGGATGGCTGGTCTGCAAGATTGTGGGTGTGCCGGTGCGTTTGGCTGTGTCCGCGTCATGCATACATAGATTTTGGGTTGAGGGCTTCGGACTTTGGGCCTGTTCATTGGGCTAGGACTGCATCAATGCGCTTCCGCCTAGGAAACGAGGCCAAGCATGGGTGGTCCGCATGACGCAACAAGACGCGCTTCCAGGAATCGAACCCAACCAACCTCTTTCCAAGCACAAGATTATCTTGGCTGACTTCTGAACCCCTCCAAAAAGTTAAACTTTTAGTTTCCTTATTTTCGTTCATATAGAAACCCAGAAAGTTAAAGTCCTAAGAGCCAACCAGAAGAACGCCAAGTTATGAGCCTCTATTCCTACAGGCATACTCACCGCACCGCCAGCAAACAGAACCATCACCTTCCATGCAGCAACCCTTGTTGGTGTGCATCTGCACTTCTTTGCTTTGTCCAGAGATTGGGATCACGTATCTCTCATGCCGCCCTCCTGCACACTCACGATCGGATTCCATCGCTAATCGGGTCACAGACAAGGTTCCAGAGGGAACAGACCCTACACTGCCCTACACCCTGACCACTCCTACATCCACCAAATTCTACCCCATCAACATTTGGACTCTTCCTCATAATCTCTCGATGCTAAACTAAACCCCGAACCCCAAACTCCCAAACCCTGAACCCCAAACTTTCGACACCCGCAACCCTGAATCCTGAACCCGAGAACTCAAAACTCAAAACCCAAACCCGAAGAAACCCCCAAACCCTAAACACAAAACCCTAAATCCTAGACCCAAACCAGCAAACCCCTAAACCTCAAAACCCTGAATCCTAAACCCAAAGAAACCCCTAAAGCCTAAACCCCTACACCCAAAATAAAGCCTAAACTTTTCCCTGAATCCTAAAACCCAAAGAAACCCCTAAAGCCTAAACCCCTAAAGCCCCTAAACCCGCCGAGAGACCAAAAGGCGATCCCGGCTGCCTTTCCGGGTCTCCAGGTGGTGAAGCTCAGCTTCGCCTGCTCGGTGGATCTGGGCTTAGGGTTTAGGGCTCATAGGGCTCAGACGGCTTAGGTTAGGGTTTAGGGTTTAGGGCTCAAAGGGCTTAGGGCTTAGGTTAGGGTTTCGGGTTTCGGGTTTTGGGCTTCTCGGGCTAAGGGCTGAGGGCTTAGGTTAGGGTTTAGGGTTTAGGGCTTAGGGTTTAGGGCTTATAGGGCTTAGGGTTTAAGGTTTTCTTCCCTCGTTTAAGGCTTTTTTATCTTTGTTTGAGGTTTAGGGCTTAGGGCTTGGGGTACACTTGGGCCATGGAGAACTTACCCTTAGGACTTTCTAAGACCAAAGTACCGAGCTGAGTTTAGCAAGAAGCGCATCGACTGCAACATTGCTTCTTGGCCAATAGAGCCACTCTTCAATGTGTACCGTTTCCTTAGAAGCTTGCATGCAAGCTTCCTCAAACAAGCACACGATGCGGGGTCCTTGAATTCCCGGGTAGATCCAGCAGGGAGCTTGTGAAGGTCCTCAGCACAGGCGAAAGCTGTCAGCCTGCGGGTCTTCTTTTGTGTGTGTGTACAACTGCGTTGATTTCTTAACCTCATACTACGGCTGAACTCGTCCCTCCTTAGCCTGACGTGGGCTGCACGCTCGGAAGTGAAAGTCGAAAGACGAACATGGTAAAAGACCAACCTGCAGTTGCCATGATAGGATAGGGCAGGGTGTGGGGGGGAATTTGTGGGCCCGAAAAAGGCACATAAGCAAAAAATAGTGGTAGGGATATCCCATATAAACCCTCATGTCCCTTATTGGTAGCTAAATTCTGGGGATTCGGGCAAGCTTCTCCGAGGTCGAAGGCCAGCACGGGCTCGCCAAGGAGTCTCCTGAACGATGCGCAAGCATGAAGAGGACCGGGGCTTAGGATCTATAGAGGTTTAGGGTTTTTCCCGAAAGCGTCGCGAAGGGTTCTTCCGTGCGGAGCCGGGTAGACAAGTACATAGATGACAAACATAGAATCGAGCACATGACCTTATGACTTGACACTTGATACATAGATGACAAACATAGAATCGAGCACATGACCTTATGACTTGACACTTGAGTCTACGACTCTATGACCCTATGACTCTATGACTCTAAGACCGAACTTGACTACTCTTGACTACTCTATGACTCTATGAACTTGAGGACTCTGTGACTTACTCACTTGACTACTCTATGACTCTGTGACTTACTCTGTGACTTACTCTTGACTTACTCTGTGACTTACTCTGTGACTTACTTACTCTCTGACTTATGACTTACTCTGTGACTTTCTCTCTGACTTACTCTGTGACTTACTCTGTGACTTACTCTGTGACTTACTCTGTGACTTACTCTGTGACTTACTCTCTGACTTATGACTTACTCTGTGACTTACTCTCTGACTTACTCTCTGACTTACTCTCTACATCTCGGTATCTAATCTCTCTTCTAAAGCCAGGGGTGGCACCGTCGTCGTCCATCGGGAATGCAACCCTTCACAGGGATTGGCCACCTCGAGCGCCCAAACGCTAGGTAAAGTTACACATTTTAGGGTTCCCGTGCAACCCTTCCCAGGGATTCGCCTCCTCGGGCGTTCAAACGCGAGGTAAAGTTACACATTTTTATGTGCGCTTCGCACCCTTCCCAGGGATTCGCCTCCTCCGGCGTTCAAACGCGAGGTAAAGTTACACATTTTAGGCGCCCGGCGCAACCCTTCACAGGGATTCGCTTCCTCGGGCGTTCAAACGCGAGGTAAAGTTACACATTTTAGGCGCCCGGCGCAACCCTTCACAGGGATTCGCTTCCTCGGGCGTTCAAACGCGAGGTAAAGTTACACATTTTTCGGGCGCCCGGCGCAACCCTTCACAGGGATTCGCCTCCTCGGGCGTTCAAACGCGAGGTACAGTTACACATTTTTCGGGCGCCGTGAACCCTTCACAAGGATTCGCTTCCTCGGGCGTTCAAACGCGAGGTAAAGTTACACATTTTAGGCGCGCCGCGCAACCTCTCACAGGGTTTGGGCGCAGCTCAACTGCATTTTGCAACCCTTCACAGGGATTGGCATTTTGCAACCCTTCACAGGGATTGGCATGGTCGAATGCACGAACGCGAGGTAAAGTTGCATTTTTTGATGTGCATTGAGATGAATTTTGCAACCCTTCACAGGGATTGGCGTGGTCGAGTGTTCGAACGCGAGGCAAAGTTGCAATTTTTGATGTGCATTGAAATGAATTTTGCAACCCTTCACAGGGATTGGCGTGGTCGAGTGTTCGAACGCGAGGTAAAGTTGCAATTTTTGATGTGCATTGAGATGAATTTTGCAACCCTTCACACAGATTGGCGTTGTCGAGTGTTCGAACGCGAGGTAAAGTTATTACTTTTGATGTGCATTGAGGTGAAACTTGCAACCCTTCACAGAGATTGGCATTGTCGAGTGTTCGAACTAGTACTAGTACTACTACTACCACTACCACTACTACAACTATTATTACTACTACTACTGCTACTACTACCACTACTACAAAAGAATACTACTACTACTACTACTACTACTACTACTACTACTACTACTACTACTACTACTACTACTACTGCTACTGCTACTACTACTACTACTACTACCACTACTACTACCACTACTACTGCTACTGCTACTACTGCTACTACTGCTACTACTACTACTACTACTACCACAACAACAACTACAACTACAACTACTACTACTACTACTGCTGCGACATAAAGTGACCATGCATAGAGTCATAGAGTCACGTTGAAACCACAGTAACAGGGATGTCTATATAGTGAGGTTCCGGAGCTAGGAAAGGAAGACTTCTGCGTCATGTTGGACTATACCCTAAACCCGCTAAACCTGAACATTAGTGTTCATAGAGTGAACTACATCAAGTCAAGTGCGTGGTACATAGATGACTCCATGACTCTATGACTCTTTCTCACTCTGACGCTATGACTCTATAACACTATGACTCTATGATTCTGTCTCACTGTGACTCTATGACTCTATATGACTCTATGACTCTTTGAACTATGACTTGTGCTTGACATGTACTCGACTCTATTTCTCGATGACTCTATGAACTATGACTTGTACGACTCTTGACTGTATGTGACACTCCGACTCTGTGACTCCGTGCTTTTGACTCGGTGACTCTATGACCCTATACACTGGATTCTATGACGTAGCGCAACACTCTTCGCTGATGATGCTTTCGGGCCAATTGTCTTCTAGTAAGGTTTAATATAGTACGGCACCTAATATTTAGGGTACCCAAAAAGGGGCCCTGATTTTGACAACCACCCATATACAGTAAGCCCCATAGAGTTGGAAACCGGATTAAGGCCAAATAGTGCTGGGATTCCCTATACATTACTCTTAAGGGTTGAGGCTATTGGGTTTCCAACTTTTGGGCTTCTACTGTACCCGAACCACTGGCTTCTCTTGACCAGGCCTTGGCTCCACCGTCTCCACTTGCGGCTCAGACATCTGCCAAGGATTCAGGAGGGGCGGGTTTTCAAAGGCTCGCGGCGAATTTTAGGGCTTTAGGGTTTGAGGGTTTAGGTGTCCCGGGGTTTAGGGCTCATAGGGTTTAGTTAGTTAGGGTTTAGTGTTCAGTTTCCAGCCTTTTCTCTGCAGCTTTTTTTGTAAGGCTTCCTGGGCTTGTGGGGCGTATCACGCCTTTGCGATGTCTGAGGCGGTTGCAGGATTGGTCAGGCTCGAAGCGGCTTATGTAGAGGTGTTGTGTTTGTTACCAGGCTTTTGCTGTGTTTTTGTCGACTGGTCGTGTGAGTTTCGGCGCTTGGCAGGGTTTTGGGGCCAGGCTTTGTGCATGGGGTGAAGTGCTGGTAGCGGGATACTAAACCCTGAACCCCTAAACCCTAATCCCTCGATGACGATTTGCAGCTTGGAGCTTCTGGGCCTCTTTGGCGGCGCTATGCGTAAGCTTTTTGGCCCCTCTTGAAGCGATCTATGGAGGGCAACGCAAAGGCCCCTAAAGTGGTTCCTTTTTGGGGTTCATATATAGAATCTTATAAGGTCATCCCAAAAAGGAACTACTTTGGGGCCTAAGGGAATGCAGGGGTGTCAATAATCAGAGAAGGGCCTTGGGAATGTTATGCTACAAGCCAAGACTGAAATAAACAAATCCTCTATTCCCTATAAGCGTCCATGCGCCCAAATACTATATTCCTCGGCCCCAAGATACCTTAAAAAAGGGACTACCTTCAGGCCAAAGTCTATAGTATTTGGGTACATGGACCCTTCAACCCAAAACCCTTATGGTACCCTTATAGGAACCCCTATTTGGGCACATGGACGCTTAGGGATTATGCAGCAGCTGCTAGCCGCCTAGCCCCGTAGGGAGAAAGGCAGCTTCGGTAGGAAGCTGCAGCTTGCTCATGCCGGAACCTGTGATGGCTCCGAACCCTAAGGGTACGAGCACCTGATAATCATGTACTCTCCCAAATGGTAACCTACATAACTACGATCCGAAACCTAAATACTTAATTATTGGGTCCTTTGGACCCTTAGGGCGAACCATGGAAAACTTGGAAAAATGAAAACAGGTAAGCCAAAACCCTCTCTCTCTCTCTCGCTCTCTCTCTCCCAGGCATTCGGTACGTCAAGCCTGACTGAAGGGCTGCACTTGCGGTCCGACATGACACAACAACCCTGAACCTCAAAACCCTTAACCTTCAAACCATAAACCCTTTTGCAGCTGAGACTCCCCCTCTTAGCCCATGAGCCCCCGTAGAAAGGCCTGAGAAGCCAGGCGTTCTTCGCCAACGAAGCTCAGATCCAAGCCGTGCAGGTCACTGTAGCCCTCCTCAGATGACCGGCTTCTCTACAGAGATTTAGGGCTTCAGGCTTTACCGTAGGGGATTAAGGGCTTTAGAGCTGCAAGGCTTTAGGGCTTCAGGCTTTCCGTAGGGGCTTAAAGGTTTTAGGGCCGGGATGTGAGGCTTAAGTTGAGTTCTCTATGGTTTAAGGGCGTTTATGGGCTTCGAGGTTCAGGGGCTTAGGGCTTACGATTGAATCCCAGGTCGCTGCATGCAGTCTCGGATATGGGGCCTTGTAATAACTAGAAGAGGGCTTTGGGGCATGTTATACTAAGGACATATTATTCAGAAACCCTGAGAACTCATGTAGTTTGTTGTTCAGGCTTCTGTGGTACATGGTGCGCGGTTTAGAATTGCAGAAGCATGTCTGGGGCTCCCATACCCCTTTTTTGAAGCAGTGGACCTGTTCTCATACCCGGCCGTGATCCTTATGAACCCCAAACCCTTAACCCCTAAACCCCAAACTTAGGGGCGATGCGATACGGTGAGGCTCATGGGGGGAGACGTATAGTTTACTGTAGTGGCTTCGATCATTTGAATAGGCTTGGGGGGGGGCATGTTTTACGATACTTTTGGGAGGACTGTAATAGAATACTACTGATAACTTTTCCGACCCCTATGTTCGGAGGGTTTGAAGTGAAGATGGTGTTGAATAGAATACTACTGATAACTTTTCCGACCCCTATGTTCGGAGGGTTTGAAGTGAAGATGGTGTTGAGCGGGGTTTTGAAAAGGCTTGTTTCGTGGTTTGGATGATTCCCGCCAAGGTTAATATAGGGGCCTTGATACTTAGAATAGGGTTTTGGGGCACGCTATACTATAGTTGTAATTAAGGAACCCCCCAACATAGTATTGGCAATTCGTTAGGCCCCTATTTTGCAGCTTGCCAGGGAGGGGTATTTCGTGACCCGGCGATCGCTAAGGATGAGGATGCAGGGGGATCCCGTAACCTGCCCAAACCATCCTTTCTTGTAGGGTCCCTATAAAACCCATGCTAGGATTTATAATGCGAACCTACAAAAGAGTAGGCTATGGTAGTCCAAGGTCAGTAGTGATTGAAGAATCCAGAAGGTTCTTTTCAAGCGGCTTCCGTCCGGGCCTTTCCGGCATGTTAATCAATCCTAGAATGCTGGTCGGAACCGGAAGCCTTAAACACTAAATTCCTTAACCCCTCAACCCTAAACCCGAAACCCTCTAAACCCTATGTATACATCTTAAAATCCTAAACTCAACCTTCCTCAAAACATCCCCTAAGGGTCCAAGTACCCAAATATGTACTAGGGTTCAGAGTATGGATTTTGGGACCTAAAACCTTACTGTTTGGGTTTAGGGTTTAGGGCTTTAGGCTTTCGGGTTTAGGGTACTTGGACCCGTTTTGGGGATCAACAGCCTCGCACCTCGGGCCCCCGCCAACTCTGCACGGAGCTCTTCCGCCTCCACTGGCGCTGCCAGGATTCGCGCCGAGCCGGGCAGAAGCAGGCCCTCGACTCTACTTAGAGGATCCTGGGACTTAGTAAGGGTCCCTTTAAGGGATCTAAGTAGAGGGGTCCTTAAAGGGATCTGTAGGGTTTAATTTAGGGTTTAGGGTCTACTTAAAGGATCATGGGACTTAGTAAGTAGGGTAACTATACTTATAACCGAATGCCTGGGAGAGAGAGGGGGAGAGGGTTTTTGGCTTACCCCGAGGCTCCAAAGTAGTTCCTTTTTGGGATTATCTTATAGGATTCTGAATATGAACAGCAAAAAGGAACCACTTTGGAGCCTTAGGGTAGAGGGCTTTTGAATAGGGTTCCTCTACTTGGAGGTTCAGGGGTAGTTATAAGTAGGGTTATAAGTAGGGTAACTACACTTATAACCCATATAGTAGCGGACTTATAACCCCACTTATAGCTACCCATGAACCTCCAAGTAAAGGGGATCCATAAGCGTTGCTATTAGGGATCTGAAAGGGTACTATAATACAGGGGTCTTCATAATAGGAGAAGGGTTTTGGGTCCCTTTATACTATGGTTATAATAAGAGACCCCCCCCAAAAAAAATAGTACATATTATTTGCAATTATTTCAGCCCCTATATTTGTTTTTTTGCAGGGTTTTTATGGTGCTCGCATAGATTGCATGGGGTTTGGGTTTAGGGAGGTTTCTTCTTGGAGGATCATGGGACTTAGTATGTAGGGCTATAAGTACCTTAATTGGGGTTACAAGTAGATACAACTATAGTTACCTTACTTATAACCCTACTTACTAAATCCCATGACCCTCCAAGTAGGGGAGGGTTTCTACAAGGGTCCCTGTTCGCAAGCTTCTGCGGCATTCGGCATTCGCGCATTAGGATCAATAGCAAGGGTCCTGTGGTTTCAGCCACCGGTCCCGCGCGTGCAGAACAGACTCCAACATGGATTCGTGGACGAGGTAAAAGCCTCGGTCATCAGGTTTAATTAGGGTTTAGGATTCAGGGTTCAGGGTTTAGCTCTGTTGAATTTTGGGTGTGATCGGTGGGCGTGATCGGCGTGCTTAAGGCTTTGGGGCGCAGAGTTCAGAGTGGCGGGTTCTTGGTCGAACTAGGGTGTGCTTTTGTGCTTTTGTTTGTCCATTCATGTGTGCGGTGTCCCGGAGTAGTTGACACATTTTCGGGCTTATGTACCACTGACGAGTAAAGGCCATTTACTAAATTTACTCAGGACGTGCATCTGTGAGTATTCTGAGGGTGTTAGGTTCTGCGCTGTACACACAAAAGAGGATTTAGTACTATATGCTATCTAACTGATGCTTCCGTCATGCTACTTTAAAATGTCCGAAGCTAGTGAAACTCTGTAGTCCGGATCAGGCCAACGTGGATTTTGGATGGAAGGCTCCCTAACCCTTAGTAGCTGAGTGGATACACTTTACACTTTTCGGCATGATATTTTTTTCGGACAATCATCTAGCACCCTGAATAGTCGGATCCTTATTATAAGGACCCCAACACAAGGTACCCCTGTTTTCGGAAACTCCCATAGGACGCACTATAAAACTGAAAGTGTACACTTTTGGGGGCCTCATGAACTCAGCAACTAAGAACCCCAACTCTCCACAATCCCAAACTGCCCGTTCGACGAACCTGAGGGCATTGAATAGCAAGCCGCCCATCCACTCCGAGATGATCACGTCCTTAGCAGCCGGGATTCTGCTGAAATGGATGGCAGAGTTCGTAGGCCTGACTTCCAGAAAGGTTTAAGGTAAAAGCCAGAAAGTTGGAATGTGATTATCCTAACCATTCTATGGTAAGTTATAGGGTATCCTACCATGAAACCATATTCCAACTTTCTGGAGTTCCCTGTATGGGTTTAGAGTTGAGGGCAGGCCGGGGTTAGCGGGTTCACGGCTGGCCTGGGTCGGCCTCCGTGTCTGCCTCAGCATCCAGCATGGACAAGGGAACCTGACAAATGCAACCCGGGTTCGGGGTTTGGCATTTGGGATTTCGTGTTTAGGGCTTGGCAAGTGTCCAACAAGGTGCTTGCCTCAGTGCTACATCACCAAAGATCCTTGTCAGGGCGCCTAGTTATGATTTCCTTATGTGAGTCCCTCGAAGCTTCTTGGGTAGTTTTCAAAACTGGGGTCCCTTTTCGGTGCCCAAAGATGGCACGGCACCCTTCATAAACAGGACCCGTAAAGGGACCCTACTTTAACTAGGATACCCAGTAACCTAAGAACAAAAAGGCCTCTCTTTTTGGTATTGGGTAACTTTACAAGGAACCTAGGACTACAAAAAGGGACTAAGGGTACTACTGGGCATCCTAGTTAATCTTGGGACGGCGAGCTGCCACCTGCCCTGGAAGCTCAACTTCCTCAATGCGGCCTTCGAGGACCGTCACCTGCGTCTCCAGGCCGTTTCCTTGCTGGTCACCCAGAGAGCCCAATACCCCTTAATTAAGGAATATCGCTTAAATCATAATATAAAGATTTCCTTGCTTGGAGGGTCTTTAGGGGACTTAGAATAATTGGTTATTTTAGGGACTTCGAAGTACCATACATAACCCCAGTTAGGGTCCCTTTTAGGGTACTTATAAGTCTACTTACTACCTACTTACTAAGTCCCCCGACCCTCCAAGTGCTGGTCAGATGGTCAGAGCTTGCGTTCACGAATTAAGGCTTCAGGGCTTGCAAGGGGCCTTTCTTTAGGGGTTTTAGGCTTTAAGGTTTACGGTTTAGGGCTGGATGACATGCGCTGCTCTTCTCAGACACAGGAGCCGTAAATTGTATCACTCTAACCTCTCAAAACCGAAGAAGGCTACGACTGCAATGGGCATGGTGCAGCAATTACGGTTGGGTGCGAGAAGGTACATGCTTGAAACCGCAGAGGCGACTTCGTGAAACTGTCAAGTTTAAGGTTTTTGTGCTGTCAACAAACTGTCCCGAACCTGAATGGAACCAGCCACTGTTGCGAGGACCAATACACTCGGTAAGTGGTTGAAACACGGTTGAACCCAAACCCCAGGCATCAAGCTGCTACTAAACGGAGTACGGCGTACAGTACCAACATCCTCACATGTTGACATGAAGCGAAGACAAAGCCTGGACCCTGCACCCTGGCATCCTTTACGCCCTTACAAAGGCCCTCATCGTAACCCTGAAAGGAACCCACATATTATAGTATTATGCCTCCATTATAACCGTCATATATAAAAACAATATGTTTATATATTGCAAAAAAAATGGTAAGGAGACTAGAGAGTAGCCGTTAAAGGAAGCCACATGGCAGCCCTAAGAAGATGAGACATGTGAGCCTGGTTCAGCCCGCAGCCTTTGTGGCTAAGCCCTCTCCCATTTCAACGCATTTGGGGGGTTCCGAAAATCGGGGACCTCAATTGTAGCCCACAAATAATAGGATCCTATCCCGTTATGAAAACACTAAATAAGGCACCCCTCATTTTCGGAAGCTCCCAGATCTCGAGTGTGGCAGCTAGGAACACGGAAGGTTTCAGCAGTCAGAGCACCAAATGATAAAATTGCTTTCGAATCATCCCAGATCCGGACACATGTAAATATATATGTATATTTATATATACATATATATATATATATGTGCACAGATGCTTGCAAAGATGTGTATACATGTGTGTAATACACACATATATATATACAGATAGACTACAGAAGGATAGAGGATAACTCTGACCCAAACATCGACGAAGCTTCCATCCGATAGTGTGCATAGCAGCCGAGCACACCCATGCATCGGCTACCTCTCGCCCGCCCAACAGCAACAGCAAAGCTCTGATAAGCAGAAGGAGCGAGTCCGAACTCCCTCCTCCGAAGTCCAGCACCGCAAAAACTGGCAGGAAAAAAGACATGCCTGGAATGTATGTCTATTCACCCATATGTACGTACCCATCTCAGCAAGCTCCAAGCAACCTCCTACCCAGAGGCTCCATAGTAGTTCCTTTTTGGGATTACCTTATAGGATTCTATATACGAACCCCCAAAAGCAGCAACTTTGGGGCCTCTGTGTAGTTCTTATACAGTCTCAGCCACGTTGGACCAACCGGCGCGCCAAGGAAGCCATGCTTGGCACCTTAGAAAGGGCACGGTTTAGGGTTTTTTAGGGTTTAGGGTTTAGGTCCGTAAGACTATACCCCCCTTAGAAGCAGAATGAAACTAGTCGGTTTAGTATGTTCTTGGGTTGTAGATGAACAAGACCAAAAGCAACTCCTAAGGAGACTGTAGAAGACTTAAACAGAGGTTGTTTAGAGGGTTCAGGGTTCGATAAAGCGTTCTGTGATACAGCGGCGTGAATCATCAGAATAAGGTTTTGTGGTTTTGCAGGGTTCATTAGGCTTAGAGTTGTAGAACAAGGCTTTAGGGTATATAGTGTTAGACAGAGACTATGCAGGGATATTTTTTTGAAGATCAAAGGCTGTAAAACTTGGGAATGCCCCCTTCCCTTCCTGTTGGTTCAGGCGTGCTTGTGGCAAGGATCCTTGAAACCCTAAACCCTAAACCCAAACACTTTTACCTAAACCCTAAACCCCAAACTCTAAATCCCCAAGGCCTAAACCCTAAACTGAACATGCCACAGTGTCTGGGTGGAGTCGGGATCTGTAAAACTTCAGGGGCTCCTTAGGTACGGCCCCCATACAGTAAGAGTCTATAATAGCGATACGATTAGGGCCCTACTTCATCTATATTATGAATCTTATTCAACTATGACTGAGTGGGGGCCGCACCCAAGTGGCTCCACTGGTCCGAATTCATATAGTTTAAACTGCAGAGAGTAAAACCATCCAGACCCTTGGGATCCCAACTCCGTAGTCTAGGGTGTAGGGTTTAGGGTTCGGAGTTTAAGTTTAGTCTAGGATTCAGAGTTTAAGTTTAGTCCAGGGTTTAGGGTTCAGAGTTTAAGTTTAGTCTAGGGTTTAGGGTTTGGAGTTTAAGTTTAGGGTTTAGGGTTTAAGTTTAGTCCAGGTTTTAGGGATTAGAGTTTAGTCTAGGGTTCAGGGTTGAGAGCTTAAGTTTAGTCTAGGGTTTAGGGTTTGGAGTTTAAGTTTAGGGTTTAGGGTTTAGAGTTTAGTCTAGGTTTTAGGGATTAGAGTTTAGTCTAGGGTTCAGGGTTGAGAGTTTAAGTTTAGTCTAGGGTTTAGGGTTTAGGGTTTGGAGTTTAAGTTTAGGGTTTAGGTTTAGTCTAGGTTTTAGGGATTAGAGTTTAGTCTAGGGTTCAGGGTTTAGGGTTTGGAGTTTAAGTTTAGGGTTTAGGGTTTAGAGTTTAAGTGTAGGGTTTAGGGTTTACAGATTAAGTTTAGGGCTCGGTGTTTAGGGTCTGGGAACCTGAGCTCTCACACACGACTCTCAATGCACAACGACTCCACGAGAAATGCAATTGATGTCGCTATGGCGCAAGAGACCCCGATACTCTTCTGTCTGTAGGTCTTCATGCCCCCGTGATTCGATGATTCCCGTATCAGTTAATTGGTAACTTTGGTAACCATACCAGAACTAGTTTGCAGTTTTTGAGGCTGTAAACACATGTATCTATCTGACCTATCAGTTACAGCGTTTGGTCTGTCTGTCTGTCTGTCTGTCTGTCTGTCTGTCGCTAAGTAATGTAACCCAAGCAGTATAAGAGTCCATTGTAATGCGTAGCTGGGCCTGTACAGTTGGAGTATTTGCTGAACCTCAGCGCTGGCACAACAAGGACGAAGACTTCCCCGGGGGCCCAAGTACCCAAATAGTAGTATGGATTTTGGGACCTAAAACCCCTACTTTTTGGGTACTTGGACCTTCTGCTACAAAGAGCCGGGGAACTGCCTCCACGGCATAAACATGCTTTGCGCCGCCGTGCTTAGCCGCCAGCCTTGCTAGTCCAGGCTTCGATGGGAGGTGAACCCTATACTTGGTAACATATTGTCATAGAGTATACCATATATTATAACATATTACATTATACTAGTAAGGTACCTATCAACTTTAATAAGCCGAGAAATGCTAATTACATGTCTGCTGCATGCGTGGCTGTATCGATGTTCTGCTGTGAGGACTTCGGACAAGGATTCCGGGTTTAGCGTTTAGAGTGGAGGGGGTCGAAATTTCGGGGTTGCCGGATTGTGGAAACAAACTAAACTGTTGGGATTATATAAGTTCCGCCCTTTAAAGGGTTCTTATGTAGTAACTTTAGGCCCAAAGTGTGTGTGTGTGTGTGTGTGTGTGTGTGTGTCGGTGTGTGTGTGTGTGTGTGTGTGTGAGATTGTGTTTGTGGTCCACAAGTTGTAGATACGTTGACATGGACCCCTTCGGGTAACTCCGGCTATGTCAGGTACAATCCAAAGGGTCCGAAGTCTCTGGAGGTTACTTTAAAACTACCGAATGCCACTGCTCTTAGGAACCCTAGTGTCTACTATGCACGTATTGACCCTAAACACTAGACCCCTAGACTCTAAACCCCTGAACCCCAGACCCTCTGGGCAAGAGTCATGCTCAATATCCCGCTGCCAGCGCCCACGTCAAGGACCAGGTGGTTCTGAATCGATGCCTCCGGGAGTTCAGCTCAGCTTCGGAAGTTACGGAATCTGAAGCCGGGTTTCGGCGCTCACACTCGGACAATCCAGGCGAGGCTTTTTTCGGGTTTAGGGCTTAAGGTTTCTTTTGGGGGAGTTTAAGGTTTAGGATTTTAAGGTTTAGGGTTTACGGGACATGAGCTTGTTTCAATGGTTTTGGGGTTTAGGGTTTGAGACGACGGGCCTCGGGGCTGAGGGTTCATGGGGTCTCAGTGCAATCTTCCAGGCAAGCGATTTCCGGCACCGTGGTTGTTCCTCTTCGAGGCAGCTTGGAAGCATGTGGTGCGATGCTCCGGGTTTCATCATGTTAGCTCGAGGACCAGACATGTTTCGAAGATCGCGAGAGCCCGGCCTAACAGTTTCCTTCACGCACATGAAACTGAAACACTACAGCACGTCGCCTATGTGGGTGCCACCATGCAAACTTTCAACACCAGGTTTAATTCTAGACCCGGGCCACTGTGCAAGAACCTCGCCAGTGTCAACCAAGCCATTCGCCATGTTTTTTTCAAGTTGGTGGTGCAACCGTACCATCTCTTGTACTGTATGGCCTCCTAGATCCAACTACCCTCTAATATACCCTTCATATTCACTAATAAGGGTCATAAGGATTCCGTTAAAGGGCCGTAGAAGGGTAATTACTGCCTGACAATGTTGGGGGTTCTTGTTTTGGGGTGCCTGCTAGCTGTATCCTCAGAAACCCGTGGGATTATCAGGAAATTCGGCAAATCGTCGCAGCGCTCGCGGACGCAGCCGATCGAGCGGCTAAGTTTCCTGCCTGCCGCAAACGCCGTTCTAGTAAAATGTACTTTGCGATCGCTTGGGATTTACACAACGTTGTTGGACGTGACATTTCACCGACATGAATACTAACAAAGCATGATAAAGCACGCAATGCGCCAGCAATTCGCATTCCGTGCAAGCCTGCGTTGATCCCATTCATTCTTTCAAACCCTGTCGAGATTCAAGCGCGCCGTCGGCTGAGCGGCTGCTGCCTAGGCTAATGGCCGACAGCATTGCTCTTACATACCTCAAATAATTCAGACTCCAAGCTCTTAGCCCAGGTGCACCTGCCCCGTGGTTCCAGCTCCCTCCGGCTCTATTTAGGGTTTAGGGTTTAGGGGTAGACATGAGTGCTGGTTGCATCCACCAAAGCCACACAATCGCCTTCTTGCAGCCTTCGACAAAGTCGGGAATTTCAAAGACACTCTGGCACACTTTCACCAAGTGCAAGGACGAGACACCGTTCGAGCACAACTCTTTCTGGGTTCTTGTTCATGATTTAGTTTAACTTAATCATAATCGGGATCAGCAGAAAATGACATAGCTTCCTAATTATGGTAATTAGCTAGAACAACCCCTAACAAGAACCCAGCATTGACGCAGAGGCTTCGTCGCTGATCTGCCAAGCCATGTGCGCTTCAGTGACAGCATCTTCCACAATGTGAAGGGCTCCGTTTCTTCAACTCGAGCGCTCCCTTTTTGGTATTGGGTAACTGCTATAAGGAACCTAGGACTACAAAAAGGGAATAAGGGTACTACTGGGCATCCTAGGATAGTATAAGTTTAGTTTGGGGGCCTTCTGTCTTTCGGGCAGGCTCTCTGCATTGCAGGACATCAACCCAAACGTCTATAGAGCTCACTTCTTCTGATTGTTATGCAATTGTTTTGCACGTGGAAAATCAGTCCCTCTACCTTTCGATGCAAAGGCCTTGGTCTGCGATACCCGGAAGAACAAAGACAAGCAACCCATTCAATAGTATGATTTCGTACTACGATCCCTTACCCTGAGGCTCAAAATGGCCCGAAAGCCTGTTATAATGATGTCTTTAAGCCCAAAAGCCTCTAAATAGAAGTCCTTAGAGCCTTAGGGTTATTGCCCAAACACAACTCCCGAAACTGCCTTGGGGGTATAGCAGGCCTAGGAGCTAAAGTTTCGGGGTTTTCACCGCCACTTTCCCGCCAAAACACTTTGCTCCCCGGAATGGCGGATGGACAGACAAGTCTATACCAGGTGTCGATTTCAACAGTCCGAGATTCATGTATAATTGGGGCTCTTTATTAAACCCTAAGCCCTAAGCAAGAACCCTAAACCCCATATTGAACGTAAATCCCGAACACTAAGGGAAGTTAAAACTGATCCCAAACCCGTACCTAATATGCAAACCAAGGGGAAGCCTTGTTGAGTCGGATCGCGGCCAAATAGCAGGAAACCTCGACGTGTTCGAGTCAAAGGAAACCCCAAACCCTAATTTAGGGTCTCGTTTTTAGGGTTTCGGGCCTGTTTGAACCACTATTAAAACGCTGCATCCCACCCAAGCAGCTCCCCATTTTTGGCCGGAGGCCTCTGCGTGTTGGGGCAGCATGGTGAATCTTGGCCTCTGTGCTCTACACGAAAACATGCCTTCATTATCCTGCGAGCCAAGAGCATCACTCTGCCGAGCAGAGAGTAAGACCTTGTTCGCCCAAACCTTATGCCCATGTGTATGTATATATGTATGTATGTTTGCGTATG